AAAGAATAGAAAATAAAAGGTGTTTGAATTTGTATATTGAATATATTCTAGTGAGATTTTTATAATTTCATAAAGACAGAAGTGGTTATTGCAAAATAGTGTGTTAGTTTGTGTTAAATCAGAAGTGAAAACCTAGTTCTCCTTTCTCACAGCATTTAATGGTGAGGTGAGAGCGTACCTTTCGATCTCCGGTGGTACGTGGTAACGATTTGTGAGAGCCAGGAATTTCATCAGCAAATCCTCTGAAGGAGAAAAAGGACAGTCTGTTATAGAAGCATACTGCTAAAAAAGCAGACTGCAGACACAGCAATTCAAGAGCAAAATATTTTACTCCAAAAAGGTGTAAAATTAGTGTGTATCAGATAAGCGCTTAAGGTTCTAGAAGTGTACTAGCCGCTCAAAACACTTAAGTGTGGGAATACCCCTATGCCCACTAACAGAAAAAATACAAATGTGACAAAAAATGTGATAAAGTGGAACGCTTAAGAAAGTGCTAGTGCTTTTATATTTAGGCAACAGGCACTTAATTCCAGAGCCAGGATTTGTGGGCATTATCACAAATTCCACATATATTACCAGTTGCACTATATATGTATTGTTTTTGTCTCCTTTTATATATGCGCTGTATACATGTGATATCCCAATGTACTAAGGGTAAATATAAAAGCACTAGCACTTTCTTAAGCACTCCACTTTATCAAATTTTTTTTTGTCACAGCATTTCAGATGTTTCTGAAGCCCATTCACCATGAGGAAATTACGAGAACCCTTACCGAGGCTCTGTGTCATGGCAGGCTGTTCAGTAATAAATGTTATATCATCTTAAATAAAAGACAATCTTCCCAAATGTCAGCTGTGCTGAGGCTACACAGAGGGTAATAGAATTCCAAATTCCAATAATGCCAATTTTAAACCCCCTAGAACACACAGCTCTTCGCCATCTTGGTTTACCAAACAATTCATAACAATTCAATGAGGTCAGTGGTTGCCGGGAGTGTATGGCGTGGGTGGTTCTGCCCGACACTTCCGCCATCCATCGCCAGCATGGGAGAATCCCATGCATTCAAAGTAATGTGTGCTTAGTCGGGCATGTCGTTCCCTACTAAAAAGAAAGCGACGCGGTGTAATGGATTCTCCCATGCTGGCGATGGATGGCGGAAGTGTCGGGCGGAACCATCCGCGCCATACACTCCCGCCAACCACTGACCTCATTGGATGTCTTATAACATGTCACCACTGAATTACCAATGACTTTTATTCAATTGTTTAAGGATTGACAGCATGATTATCGAATGAGGGCCTCCCTACCACAGGTGTTTTCTTTGTACATAATAAAGAGAAGAAATTTGACTTTGTGATTGGTCAATCACATATCATGTGGCCCCAAAAGGAGGACCCATATGGACTCTCAAACATTTAAAAAGTAGACGATTCCTGAGGCTACCACACAGCTACTGAGGAAGCTCATAGAAGAGTGAAACGCGTTTAGCTGATTTTGGACTTTTTATTTGGACTTTTTTATTTTCTAGATCCAGTATTATTTTTGCTTTAATTTATTCTTAGTAAATTACTTTCAATACTTCATATTTTAGTCCAACAAGTCCTTACTAGCCATCACGAACCTCACTTGGGGAGTGCTATCCCAATAAAATAAGCACATTGTCCATCAACCTCAGAGCCGGGAGTCCAGGGCTCTGTTAAAGGTGAGCACAACCATTACCACCTATACTATATCTATACTTCATACAAATTTACACAGTCGGTTTGTCTCTTTCTTGTTGTATATTCCTGGAGGAGTATCGCTTGGAACAAAGGGGTGTGTTTGCTGCCCAAAAAGCATTTAGGATCCATTTACGGAGCCAATACCATATAGGCTCCAGTCCATGTGAGTGGTGTCATTTACTACCATCAATTATTTCTATTTGGGAACCATCTGCACTATATTTTTGTTTCTGTTTCCTTTTGTATGTATATTCAAGATTGTCACTGTAAGTGTACCCCTCTATTACTCATATTGCAACAGCGCTCCACTTGTTGGTATATATTTTATACCACTTTTTCTTGTGTATCTGTGTTCTATTGTGGATAAGAGGTATTCCACTTTTAGTGTTGAGCTGCTTCTTTTATCTCAGGCACTGTAGAGTATCACCCACTATCCCTGTAAAGAGATAGCTGTCTTCGGTTTTATAGTTTAGAGACTTTAAAACAAAGATTAAAGTGGTTCTAAATAGATCTGGACTTTATAAATATAACCATGTTCCCAGTACAACTCTCTATAATTACAGCATATCTGCAGGTGTTAGATGTGCACTGCCCATTACATCCACCTGAGGGAGCTCCAGGTATAGCTCTGACCACTGCTCACAAGCCGCTACACAGTATTCTTTATCAGACCTCAGGTTGGTATTTTAAACAGTAATTAAGGAATTGGGTGGTTTAACAGACTAATTATATATGATTGTACATTACTGGAGGGTTAGTTTTTAACTGGTGAAAAACATTCACACAACATGTGCAAAATAAAACCATTAAGCACAAGAATTAAATAATTCATGGAGTTAAATTGTAGCCATTTTTCTCATTGTTCCCATTACACAGAGTAAGTGTGTAGATATTCCACAGGTTATTACTAATATTACCACGCGTGGCATTAAATATGAAGATAAATAGTACCTACTGAAAAAAAAGCAGTTAAAAGGAGCAGAACACTATAGGGTCAGGAACACAAACCTATATTTTGGGTTAAAACAACCATCGAACCCCCCTCCCCCACTACACCCTCCCCCACCCTTCCTTAATATAGTAAAATCTTACCTTATTCCAGTCTGCTACTGCTGGCTCTGTTGCCACTTTGCACAGAATTAATATTAAGAAGTCTGGAACAGAGTTCTGGGCTGCCAAAAGCTATAACTAGCCCTCAGCACATAAGTGCAAATATCTCTGTGTGCACAGATTATTTCCTCCATGACCACTTCAAACAGTAGTCATGGTGGTTGGAGTAACCCTTTAATTGTAAGCATTTTATCAACCTCGAAAAAAGTAAATAAATCTGCATTGAATTTAGATATATTTAGTTCTGACCAGTTTTGAAGTCTGGCATTTTAGTTACTTACTGGTACTCAATTAATGGACTAACGGAAGAAAAAGGTAACCAGATCAACTCTAGAAACTGGAGACTGCATGCCCAAGCAAAAGAGCATTCTCACTGAACTCTCACTGACATAAAGCTGCAAATATTCAACCAGAACCTGAAATAAACAAATAAATGCAGGAAAATCGCCTTCTTACCGCTTCCTTTTGTACCATATGGCAACTCGTAGAAAGATTGATTTTTCACCCAAAAATAGTCGCTCAACTGCAGGAAGACGGGGTGATCCCTTGAGTAGCTGTGGGAAGATGCAGATTATAAGAGTCATTATAGGAGATACAAACATTACATCAAACACGTCACTGAGTGTTAAAACACCGGAACACGTCACGGCACTGAACGTTAATACACCGGAACAACTCACTGAGCGTTAATACACCACAACACGTCACATCACTGAGCGTTAATAAACCGTAACACGTCACTGAGCGTTAATACACCGGAAAGTGTCACTGATCGGAGCGTTAATACACCGGAACACGTCACTGGAACACGTCACTGATCGGAGCGTTAATACACCGGAACACGTCACTGATCGGAGCGTTAATACACCGGAACACGTCACTGATCGGAGCGTTAATACACTGGAACACGTCACTGAGCGTTAATAAAACGGAACACGTCACCAAGCGTTCATACACCGGAACACGTCACCGAGCGTTCATACACCGGAACACGTCACCGAGCGTTCATACACCGGAACACGTCACCGAGCGTTCATACACCGGAACACGTCACCGAGCGTTCATACACCGGAACACATCACTGAGCGTTCATACAGCGGAACACGTCACGGAGAGTTGATATACTGAGGATATCGAACGAAGCGTTGAAAAGCACAATGTACAAAGTATAGGCTCCGTGGCAGGACTGCTTAATGTATGGAAAATAAAAAGGGAGAAATGTAGGCTTGCCATTTTCCTGGGAATCCCGTGGCGACTGTACGACTAAGGTGCTGTGTAAAAACAGAGCCTATCACTCCAGGGTGTTAATCTCCTGTACTTTACACAGCCATGCATTGCATTGGGTAGGGTGTTCACGGTGACCAAAGGAGGGATTTATCTACATTGCTATACTGGCCCATCAGCTTTAGTACCACCTTATTGACCGGTTTTGGAGTGAATTGGTTGCAGTTTAAGCATTCTCCAAGCTGGTAAGGAAAGCAACAAGTCAGCAGAGCATGCAGTGATTAAAATAACAGCCAGTAGGAGACAGAGACACACTTACAGTATATGCAAGTGAAACATTACAGAACAACCCAGCATTGCATGGCCGGGGGAGGGGTGGCAAGTACAAATGAATCTATGAATACTAATCAAAGGTTGCCTCTTTTTACAGAGGAGTGTGTATAACAAAAGTGCTCGAAAGAGTCAAAAAGTGATTTACAGGCGGCAGCTCAATACACTAGTGTGGAAATATCCTCTATTCCACTGAATACATTTAGTAGATATTGGTGCGGTGTAAGTGACTAGGACCTACACCTATAAGTGGAGTGCTCAAACACAGATAAATCTTACCAAAACGTAGTCTCATTCAATGGTAAAATATGGGGTACATGTCAAAATAAAATACAGAAAATACAATATAGTGTAGACGGTACTAAAAAATGGCTTCACAGTGATTATAATAATATCGTGTTGAATATTACACTCACATTTCAAGGAGCCTGTATATAGAAAACACTGGCTCCGTATAAAGGCTTGTGTGCTGTTATGGTAGCACCACCCTCCTACTTCGGCTTGAAGAATTTCTCGGGAACACGAAAAAAAATGAAGAAAGCAAACCAATGTGTAGACTTATGGTGATAAATGTGTGGCTTGAAGAATTTCTCGGGAACACGAAAAAAAGAGAAGAAAGCAAACCAATATGTAGACTTATGGTGATAAGTGTCTCATTTATCACCATAAGTCTACACATTGGTTTGCTTTCTTCTCTTTTTTTCGTGTTCCCGAGAAATTCTTAAAGCCGAAGTAGGAGGGTGGTGCTACCATAACAGCACACAAGCCTTTATACGGAGCCAGTGTTTTCTATATACAGGCTCCTTGAAATGTGAGTGTAATATTCAACACGATATTATTATAATCACTGTGAAGCCATTTTTTAGTACCGTCTACACTATATTGTATTTTCTGTATTTTATTTTGACATGTACTCCATATTTTACCATTGAATGAGACTACGTTTTGGTAAGATTTATCTGTGTTTGAGCACTCCACTTATAGGTGTAGGTCCTTGTCACTTACTCCGCACCAATATCTACTAAGTACAAATGAATGCCCCCTTTCTGTTTTGCAAATCCCAGAAATCCAGGCCGAGACAGCATGGAGGTGATGGTTCTCCAGGAAAATAGAATCACACCCACACAGTGCCGGGCTAGCAAAGACAAGTACTGAAGTGTTGTCAAATCTATTTGTATATGAATGTTCTGTATATACGGAATGTGGTGTGTATACTGGAATGTTGTGGAATGTGGTGTATATTTTGGACCAGTGGCAAAACTAATGCAGAGAGGGCCCTGGTGAAAGAAAGGTTTTGGGTTCCCCCTCTGGCGCAAGGGTGTACATGTGTGTACACATTAGTACACACATAAAACACAATGACACACCCATATAATCCTGCCAATTTAATAAAATGTGGTGTATAGATTAGAATGTCAAGGAATATGGTATATAGATTGGAATATATTGGAACGTGGTATTTAGACTGCAATGTCGCAGATTGTGGTGCATATATTGGAATGTTGCATGTTTCAATATCTTGTTAAGAGACATGGTGGGGGGGGGGAAGGGAGGAGGGTATTTTGGATGTTTACAGCTCGAAACAAGGTAGCTTGCACTCTGGCACCATAGGATCATATCTACTTACTTGCTGATAAAGATGGCAGCCTTGGAAGGGACGTCCCCTACGGAGCACATCTCTCGAACAGGTTCATAGGTTCTGCAAGGAAGCGATTAGGAAAGTAATTAATTGGAAGACATTCACTCAGAAATCACGCATATTATATTTCAATGTGCACTTTAATATTCCCCAATATCATTTAACCTTTCATCTATCTGCTTTTACTAGAAGTGAAAAGGTTCTGACAGACCTTGGATCCTTTAACTATCCCCTCTGCCATGAGAATGTGGAATGAGGGGGGATAACGAATAAAAGGTAAAACGCACTGTGCCATGAGGATGTGGAATGAGGGGGGGTAACAAATAAAAGGTAAAACGCACTGTACCATGAGGATGTGGAATGAGGGGGGATAACGAGTAAAAGGTAAAACGCACTGTGCCATGAGGATGTGGAATGAGGGGGGATAACGAATAAAAGGTAAAACGCACTGTGCCATGAGGATGTGGAATGAGGGGGGGAGAACGAGTAAAAGGTAAAACGCACTGTACCATGAGGATGTGGAATGAGGGGGGGTAACAAATAAAAGGTAAAACGCACTGTACCATGAGGATGTGGAATGAGGGGGGATAACGAATAAAAGGTAAAACGCACTGTGCCATGAGGATGTGGAATGAGGGGGGGGTAACAAATAAAAGGTAAAACGCACTGTGCCATGAGGATGTGGAATGAGGGGGGGATAACGAGTAAAAGGTAAAACGCACTGTGCCATGAGAATGTGGAATGAGGGGGGGAGAACGAGTAAA